AAAATAGATCGACCAATATCTAAAAACATTAGTTGAACAGAAAATTAGATTGCTATATATTTTAATTCTTTACCCATCATGAAATTAGATTTTTTTGTCAAGTGTTAAATATTTTTTCGAATTAGATTAAGAAAAATTTGAAAAGAAATGTTCTCAAGTGAACTTTCAGTTGGTTCTAATGCGGAACAATATCCAATGTTGATTGGGATCATGCCACGTCGTATACAGAAACGGGATGATCCATTAATGTCTGAATATAATGTCAACATATTGTTGCAAGGTGATACTTTGATGAGAACTCTAGAAAAATCAAGTCGAGACAATATACTCAATGAATTGGCTATTTACAAAGAACGATTTGATCACAATGAACAAACTTTAATAAATTTTTGTTTGATGTATATTGACTGAGTTTGATGAAGTCTACAAAATAAAATAAATTTCAGTAATTGAACAAATCAATAAGAAAATTCTGTTTCAGTCGTTTTTTCTCTTTCATTATCTGAGTTTATCGCCAAGACTGCTCTTTGCTGGGATATTGTTTGCGAAATACTCAAATATTTCTCATTAAACGATGCAAATTAATCTATTTTCTCCTAAAAGTCTTCCTGTATTATGTAAAATGATTTCAACTTTCAAGAATTCAATTCAATCAACAAGTGCGAAACATATTTCCCTAAATTCAAACGTGTTGCTCTTGGGTATGATAGTGAAATCAGTCTTTGCTTTTTGGGTAGCAGCTTCTTTAATCTGAACCTTTCAGTGAAACAATTTGAAGTTGATTGTACAGCTTTTGTTTGTATTCATTCGACTTTCAATCGTTACAAAACGATGTTCTCCAACAATGTTTCTATTAATTATTGTCTTCTTGACATGAAGAACTTTCCGTTATCATCAATTAATGATTCTTGCGAACGTGATGAGTCATGTACTTTGATGACAGTGATTGGTTTCATCAAAAAGATGTGAAATATATACGGCATGCTCGATTAATTACAAATGAATACATTACTATGTCTAGATGAATGAATAAAACTAGCATATAAGCGTAATAAATTGACAATATTAACTTTGGATGTAGTGGATATATATGATAAAGGATGAAGAGTTAACGGAGAAAATAGCAAGAATTCAAAAGGCATTGCAGCCGGGCATTCAATTTCAAGTTAGATCAATATAATTGACTTCTTTTCATGTTTTCAACAAATATTTATTATATTCTCGAACTCAATTGAGTTGTTTGTCGCATCAATGATTTAGTAACGCATTTGTTCTTTGCAAATTGATCGTGTTCCTATAGAATCTTGTCTATATTTTGACAGGTGAAATATTTTTGCCTTTTGTACACATGATGTTGTCGTCGTTAGTTATAATGTTGAAGTCCAATTTTTCGATGACGGTGGATGATATGTCACGTAAATTGGAGATTTAGGCAAAATTAAAGACACTTTTTAAAAGATTTAAAAGACAATAATATAGAAAAAGAGCGAGCATAATCATTGATCTTATATATTTGTACTAAGTTATGTCTGGTTTTCATTCAATGTGAATTAAATCTACGAAACTGTAGAGTTCGATTCGGTGCTTTCAGCTAATAATTTTTGAGTAACACTTTTTTCTTGTCCATGTTTATTTGTCTTCAAATTTCATGTTGATTATAAATAATTTGTCAAGCAAGAGTATACGATGATAGTATGTTTTGTTAATTTGTTTTCTGACCGAAGAATGTTGAGGATGTTCCAGTTTATTTAGTAGGTGAGGTGCTATGTTAGCTAGCTTCTCTTGAAATTTGATACATCCAATATTCCAAATGCTGCTTTAGCTTGTGCATAGATGTATTTTCGAAAATTCTTTTCTGACATGACGTAGAAGAGGTTATATGTGTCAACATATATGTGTATGACGTTAAACTAGAGCAAGAATATATTATTTGTACCATCCTGATTTAAAAGGGAAAGACAATGATGCAATACATTTTTATTCTTATATACAACAAATTTAGGAGTGGCATCCATTTTTCAACATTACTTAATCCAGCACTTGCATCTTTCCTTCGTCTTTTATTAGAGTCTCTTTTCTTCTCTTTCTTTATACACACATATAATTTGACCGCATATTTAAGTTGTTGCTATTGCATTTGAAAGAAAAATCGTGTATACACATACACAAATTTTCGCATTGAACATTTCTCAGGGACTCATTAAATTATATCTAATTTCTGCATCAGAGTGTTGTTTTGGCTTATCACAAGACTAGAGAAGGATGACATTTACTCTACTCCATGTTGATGGTTCTCATTCAAACGTTTTTCTTAAGAATAAGAGAGAAAGGATGGTAGCAAGAAAGAATTATTAGAAGAAACACGAGATAATTGATGATAACAACCTTTAACTCCTTTGAGTGAGGAAACTTTTATTACTTCAGTAATTTTATCAGATTTACTTGTTTTCTCACTCAAGACCTGTTCAGGTTATATGTGTACTTGATATTTCTCGTAAGGAAGTGTGTGCAAGAATGTGAACTTTAGCTATAATACAAATACCACGTGATCAATGATTTTTTTCCTTCGAATTGAACTAAGATATTATTTAGATGATTCATGTTCAAAGCTTCATCACATTTGAGTCGTATTCAGAAGAGTTATTGTGCAGAAAATGAACAGACGAACATACTGACTGACACTACAAACTGCTCAATTTTTTCGAACGCAATCGAAAAGTATTGCACTAACTAGAAAAAAAAGTAACCGTCACTTAACAAGGATCGTTAAGCAAATAATTTTCTTTATCTGAATTTTCTGTACGAAAACTATTTGCAATCTGTAGCATACTATTTCATGTTGAAAAGTGAGAGGATGGTTCGAAATTATGTTTGTCTAATTTTATGATTTTCTTAGCTATTTTAGCTTATCAGCTAATAAATAATGGATCAACTAAATAAAAATAAGTTGGGATTACAATAGCAGGTAATGATGAACTTAACAAGCCATATGATCTTGCATTCAGCAGCAAAAATCAATATTTTTATGTAGCAAATTATGAAAATGGTCGTATTCAATGCTATTTAGTTAATAGTGGTGATAATCGTGCCAGTGTAACAGTAATGAAATTGAATGATAGCACCGCGTAAGGCTCAGAAGCTCTTAGACTTTTTTGTGTTGTAACTTAAAATAGTACTGCAATCGGGTGGAAATTAAAAACATAGATAAACAAATAATCTGAAACAATTGATGTGAGAAGCAGAAGACAAATGCAAATAGTGATACGTCTTGGTATATCTAAATATCTAGAATAGACCATCGACTCTTGCTTTTACGGACAAAAAAAAACATATCTACGAACAAGTCGTTTTATCATCGTAGCGCGACGTTTTTTTACCAGAACTGATCTTGCAGCTGTTACTTTACTTCTATCATTTCTGCATCATAAAGAAAGCATTTCACGGTATCTTTATGATACACTTTATGTATACTAACGGAACTAAAATGTATTTTATCCTCTGAGCGAATAGTGTTCGATAAAATACCAGCTATACATTTCAAGTTTATCTAAAAAGCTAATTAATAGTTCGAAGTTATATTTAGTTTCAGCATATGACAGGCCTTGAAACATAGACTTACTAGAAATATTGTTTTTTAAATGCTTGTAGCCTCGTTCACTGGAATGTTATTGACAAAATAAACAAACCAGGATCAGTATTTGTCGATAGAAATGATAACATATTTGTTTGTGAAACACATCTCTCACGTCATTTACTAAAATTATTATCAAATGGAACATTATCAACAGTGATTGAATTGAAAGATAACATTTTTGAGTCTTGTTCGGGAATAAATATTGATAAAAATGGAAAAAATGGTGAAATAGTGGCTGGTGATAATAGTTTTGGTCAAGCATCAAATCAATTACTTCATCCAAAGGATATTTTTGTTGCCGAGAAAATCGGCCATATTTACGTTACTGATTATATCAATCAACGTATTCAATGTTTGTCACCTATGCAAAAGTAGGTGTTACTGAACGTCGTGGAAATGACGACGGAGATAATTTAAATAAATTAAACCATCCATGGTCTCAATAGTCATGTTGTTCGTTGGTCAGCAGGTGCGAAACAAGTTGAAATTATTGTTGGTGGTGACAACAATAGTGGTCAACTAATTGAACTCTCTCGTGTGGGTAGAATGAGATTCGATGCAGATGCAAATCTATATGTTACAGACCTTCACAAAGATCAAATTCGAAAGTTTTTGATTGATAATTAAATTTAAACAGAATATTAATTTTTTCAATAATACTGCTATTTCGTTGTGTTATGAGAGAAGTTGAGATTAAGAGTGAAAACGAGTTGTCAAGAAATTTAGATTTTTCAGATTCAAAATTAACAAGATACGAAATAAACGACAAATTAGAACTGTGCAAGAAAGAAAACGAACGAATAATTAACTAATTGACCAAAGAGAATGGATTATCAGTTTCAATTTGATGCACTTGAACAAAACTCTTGTAGAGTTTCAATCAGATGCAAGCGTTTTCTTCGGCTGAGTGAATACAAAGCTTCTCTGATGAATATTTTGATAGAATTTGGTAAAGATTCTTGTCGAAATCTAGTCTCACTCGAATGTTGAAAAATCTCTTTTTTTGGTCACAACTCTTGTTGAAACAATCAAATCTTGGTCTGTCCAAACAACTACGACACGAATCAACGAAGTCTTCCAACTCATTGCTCAGTTCACTCAATTTCATGGGCATGCCTACGTCCTTGCAAAACTCTTTCTTGGTAACCTTTGAAATTTTGAGAATTACTACATAACCATTCAACCTTTCCTGACAAAATGCCCCGAAAAAAAATACAACATATTCTAGGTTACGTATTACATACATTTATTGAATATCATCACTTTCTACATTGAATTTTCTCCTCATATTTTCTTTACTTCATCATAATCCTTTTCTGTTTAAGTCAGCGAAAGAGATTCATGTTGATCGGATTTCTTCATAGCTTTTGTTAGATATGAAGGACTATTTTTGCTGCTTCGCTTGTTCTTGATAAGGTGATTCACGCGGCCATGAGCACAAACAAACAATTGAATAGAAGTTGTCTCTCATAGTAATCTATCGAATTCCACTAGACCCACATCCTTTAATCAATTTTCTTAAATTTTTGCCGATTATAATTGTTTTCCTTTACACTATTTTTAATCGATTATAACCGTAAATAATAGGAATAATCGATGAAAATTAGATTTTTCAGATTATCTTTTATTACAATCAATTTATAGTCGTTTTTAATCGATTTTAATATTAGTTTTCGTCTAACTGTTCACAGGGGACATAGATTAGAATCCATTCAATCATATCAATCAAAGAGATGGAAAAAAACTGAGCGATTTTGTCAGAAACTCAATTATTGTCTTAAATCAACTAATCAAAATTAATTTGTGAACTTCTGGATCACGCTGCCGCTTGGTGAGTTCATGAAAATAAATTGAATACTATTTTATTCGAGGATGAATTCGACTAGCTACAAGAAGGGGTGCTTTGAGTTTCTTATTTTGACAAATGAAAAACTCTCTAATCGGAAGGCCAGATTGGCTCTTCCGGAAGAAACAAGAGTAAAATCATTGAATAGAGAATGATCAATAACCTGAAGAAAATTTGCGTTGTAACTGGAAACAAAAACTTGCAACAAGTCTCGGTCATGGATAGAATGGAGAACTAAAGTGATGCAACAAAACACACAAAGACCTATAAAGTGTTCATGTTTTATCAAGAAGAAAATGTAACCTCTGTCTTATTACAAGATTAGCTCATGCCTTTATGTACTCATTTTTATTCACTGCATTTTGTCATTGTGACTTTGTTTCCATTTCCTGTCGATGGACGTCTACATGGAGTATAAATATGAGATGCTCATCAAGAGTGAACACAAAATACTTGAGAATTCAATAAGCAACGGCCATAGAATAATGGCATACTCAAATCGGTTCTAGAGGTGAACAGCATCGTCAACAACAACTTATATTAAGTCCTATATAGACATGAAACCCTAAAAACCATATCTTCTTCATGGTTCAGTGCAAATAAATGTAGAGAGTTTGTACAGGAAACTAGAAAATCATGAAACATGGTCGAAATGAAAATGAATTCAGATGCTTTTGGTTATTCCGGAAAGTAGTACTGCTGCGAGATTTTTTATTGTTATGAAAAAAGTATTTTGGATGTGTTTGGGGTGAGGCTTTCGGTATAGAAAAGAGCCACATACCCATAGTTCACATTTTCAAAATAATGCAACATACATTATTTCATTTGAACATTTGACTTCAAACTCGACTTTGATTTCATATTTACTTATATTCGAGAGCAGTATTGTATTTAATCATTGTAATCAAATAAAAATGACACGAGAAAGAATTTGGGAGTAAATAGAGAGTACATTTACAACCACACTTGCAAGAGTGTAGGTGTGAGATATGGGTTTCGGTATTAACCGATATTAAAGCTACTGCAACACGTACCCACATTCACGCCCACACCCACACCCTCGAAGCGCGTCATGTGATGCTTTCAATCTCTTTTCTGTTGAATTTTCCATATGATTCTACTATTATCTAGTGATTTCTATATACTATGGTAACAAATGGTAGATATTCAATTTGGATTTATTAATTCAAATTGATCTTTTAAACCATTTGATAGGACCCTTCCGCAAAGTCGAAACCGATCATGGTAGCTTATCTCACCATCAAGAGATCTAGTCGTCAGTTGGGTCGAAATCGCGATCACGGCAGCTCATACTCATCCTCAAGGTCGGCCTATTTTCGATTGATATAATTGCATATGTGTAGTTATCTCTTAGCTAATGGTGTGATCATAATGCGCTAGTCTTTCTTCTGACAATCATTGTGACGATGGCCCACTGGTTTCCTTGGACGGGGACTTACATCGACATCATCTGCCAACAAGATGCTAAAAATTATATCTGCATTTACGGTTATTTACTTCTATAAGAATAATGAAGAAATTTATGAATTAAATGGCACAAAGACAGTCTGATTTTGTTAAAGGACATAAACAGATTTTAGTAAAATTCTAAATCCACTACTTCAATGTTACTGTATAAGTAGAGTTCAATTTGCGTATCAGTTGCAAACAGCTAAGAGAACACCGACATTGTCTGAACCGCCATTTGCGACAATAATATCGAGTTTGCTGTCTCCATTGACATCGACTGCTGTCACAGATATTGGGTTAGAGCCAGTTGAATAAGTCACTTGAGCATCAAACGTGCGAGTGCCATTGTTGAGGAGAACACCGACGTTGTGTGAACCGTAGTTTGCGACAATAATATCGAGTTTGCTGTCTCCATTGACATCGGTTGCTACCACAGACCGCGGCTCAGAGCCGGTGGGATAAGTCACTTGAGCAGCAAACGTGCCATTGCCATTGTTGAGAAGAACACCGACGTTGTTTGAACCGCGGTTTGCGACAATAATATCGAGTTTGCTGTCTCCATTGACATCGGCTGCTACCACCGAATACGGGCTAGAGCCAGTTGAATAGGTCACTTGAGCAGCAAACGTGCCTGTGCCAGTGTTGAGGAGAACACCGATGTTGTTTGAACCATAGTTTGCGAAAATAATATCGAGTTTGCTGTCTCCATTGACATCAGCTGCTGCCACCGAATACGGGTTAGAGGCAGAGCCAGTTGAATAGGTCATTTGAGCAGCAAACGCATCATTGCCATTGTTGAGGAGAACACCGATGTTGCCTGAAATGTAGCTTGCGACAATAATATCGAGTTTGCTGTCTCCATTGACATCGGCTGTTACTACAGAAACCGGATCAGTGTCAGTGGGAAAGGTCACTTGAGCAGCAAACGTGCCAGTGCCAGCATTGAGGAGAACACCGACGTTGTTTGAACCGCGGTTTGCGACAATAATATCGAGTTTGCTGTCTCCATTGATATCGGCTGCTGCCACAGACTGCGGGTTAGAGCCAGTTGAATAGGTCACTTGAGCAGCAAACGCTCCATTACCATTGTTGACGAGAACACCGACATTGTTTGAATTCCAATTTGCGACAATAATATCGAGTTTGCTGTCTCCATTGACATCGGCTGCTGCCACAGACACCGGACCAGAGTCAGTGGGATAGGTCACTTGTGTCGGAAATCTATTGCATAGAGCTATTATGAAAGAAACATTGTTATTAGCAATAATACAATTATGAAAAACAATTGACTTATTAGAGTATTATTTACTTTCAAAAACGTTACCCCAGCTATTACAGAGGCAGCGTGAGCAAACAGAATAATGCCCAGTCTTCAAAAATTTTCTTTTATCTCTCGCGAAGCTCGGTACTTTTTCTTATAGTTTATACAGTTCCGATGAGAAAACTACCACTTTACAATCCTGACTACTTCGCCGCACCTCTGTTTCCAATTAATGCATTCTTATCGTCGTTTAATCTTCGCCTGGTTTCGCGATGCTGCTTTCAATCTTTTACCATTGGCACTGAATTAATTCTCATCTCAGATTCGATCAGACCAGCAAACGATATGAGCTACTAATCGGCTGAATTCTCAAGGTTTTCCTTGGGCACAATTAGTAAGATAATTGACAACATACTCTTGATAAACCAAGGATCAAAAAACTCTCTTGAAAAGAACTTTAGTTGGATGATATGTACATTTACGTAAGAGATGATTGATGATGTACATCACTCAACAGTGGGTAGTTCAATGAAGCACTACGAGAATGGCGCAATCAAATGATCTTGGCGCCAAAACAACCGTTGTTCGTTCCGCCTACAATCACTCGCTAGTTCATTCGTTATCTGAATAATTTCTCACATAGGTTTTATCTAAAGAATGACTACTAAATGAATGAAGTTCAAATTTTAGGGTATACAACAAGATTGATGACGAACAAAACGAATTATATACAAAAAAATAGAAAGTTATTTTGTTGTCAAATATGCCTTCTTTAATTACATGAAAAACTCTAATAATATATATTTCAAATGATTGTTGCATTCTACAGGGTGTCATATTACATTTGCCTTCTCCTCTACAACTCAGAGTATCAATGATATCACAAATGTATTTTATACCAAACTAAAGCGCGTCAAAAACTGGATTTATTGGTACTAAATGGTAAAGGTTATCAAGACCTTTTAATGTCGAATATAAGAAATTTTCAGAAATTTGATAGTTTTTTGGTGTAGAAAAGTAAGGTGCTAGTAATTCAACAATGAAGTGAAA